AGATTTGTCCTGACTGTGGGCAAGGCAGGGAAACTCTAGCTACAGCTTTGCCATAACCAGCTGAGCTCTTGTATTTTCCTGTGGCCTGTAGCAGTTCCTTAAGGCTGGAGGGCTGAAAGGGAACAGCTGCTAGATTCACACTAAAGAGCCAAAGATGTGGAGGCCACGGGAAGAGTCAGGTAGCGAGGGGAAGAGAGACAGCAGCCACGAGGGCGGCCCCCACGCCCAGCCTTGGCTCTGCTGGTGCTTTGAATTCTCAATCCAGCACCCCTCCTGTCGTTAGCAGTCAGTGCTGAGAGATGCGACGGAGACCGCCAACGGCACTTTTCCACTACTTGCAATTTTTAGCATTAGTCTTTTTAGGAACAGCTTTGGGACAGGTTTGGACATAGAGCTCTGGGGTTGTCGTTTGCTTTCAGACCTTGAAATGTTTCATTTCATTCTTTTCTGGTTTTTGTGGCTGCTGATGAACACAGTGGGGAGAGTCTGGTGTTCCTGTCTTTGTATGTGAGTGGCTTTTCTCATACTGTGTCTAGTATTTTCTTTTTGCTCTTTGTTCGTTTGATGGTTTAGAGACAGGTGTTCACTGCATAGCTCTGGGTGTCATGGAATTCACTATGTAGACCAGGTTGGCCTTGAACTCACAGCCATCTGATTGCCTCTGTCTCCCGAATGCTGGGAGTAAATGTGTGTCTCCAAGCCCAGCTCTGCTTTGTATTTTTCACATCGTGGCTAGGATGTGTCGTGCAGAATTTCTTCTCTGGCCATGTCTGCTAGAGTTCTAAATGCCCCTTGTGTTTGGATGGCTACTTCATTCTCTGGGTTCTGGGAGTTTTCTGCTGTAATTTCATTGAATCATCCATCTATTTGTTCTTATTTTAAGTCTACTCCTTTTATACCCCGAATCCTCAGGTTTGGCCTTTTGAATGCATCACTTCAAGAAAATATTGTCCACACTCCTTAATTTTTTTGCTTATTTCTGTCTTTCATATTATTGCCCTCCACCCGTGAGATTCCTCCTTCTGCATGGCCTTGTCTTTTGATATGTCTTCTGATGTAGATTTCATTTGGTTCTTTCATTTCAACCATTTCTGTGTGGTTCTTTTTCAAGATTTCAATCTCTTGGCTGAATTTTTCCTCAATATTTTTGACTTTCTACTAACTGCTTCATTCCCTTTGGAGACTGTATTGTTGAAGTCTTTAGTAGGTTCCCTTGGTTGGTGCATCTGTTTCCTGAGTCTTCTCTGTGATCATTAATTTATTTGAACACCAAGACTCCGAATTACCATCCACTATTCAGTCACCCATCTGCCCATACATCTGTCCAGCCTCTCTGTCATCTGGCATTCTCCCATGTTACAGGTTCAAAAGTAATTAAGATACATTTTCTTAAGGCTATCTAGAATTAGGCTTTAAAGAATTCTACCATTTCAAGTTTACCACTAGTTACTAGATACCTATTTACAAACAAGATGTTCACCAATTTTGTTCCTTTATCAAGAGAAAAATCTACCTTCAGACTATGA